ACCCCTTTCTTTCGACCAGGACCCATCTCTCAAAAACCACAGGTCTGTTTCCAAGTTTATGCTCACACTTTTCACAGTTGGCCTTGTACGTTGCTTTCTTCCGTGTATGTCCTATCACCTTTGTCAACTGGCAAGCTCTGATATTCGCTCGTGGCATGAATCCTTTGTACAGAAGCCCTCCATGGTATTTACTAACTGTGAATGATCAGGTGAGTGGATGATGGTGTCCATGACCATGCAGAGTTCAGAGAGGAAGTTCATCTACAAAATGAAGCCGACTAGGGCCTCCCCGGTGGCGCAGCGGTTGAGCGTTGGGTTGCAAAGCTGCCCGCAGCCTCTGCTGCGCTGGTTCGATCCCCGGCTGCTCCCCCCGGCCACCAGAGGAGGGTCCCACATGGCGCGCAGACCTCTCCTGCCATGCCCACTGCTCCCCTCAGCAGTGTACTTAGGTCCTTCTGCCTGCTCTGCTCCCTGCTCTGGCTCTGGTGAATTCTCTCACCCTCCCGCGCTTTTGACTGTACACAGTGCTTGTATAAATAAATAAATTAATTTAAAAAAAAAATGAAGCCAACTAAATTAGACCTAAAGTTCCTGCTCTAAAATCTGGCTTTGTCAGTGGAGGGAGAAAGTAGAGGGAATAGTAAAGTCCACTAATTAAGCCTTGAGAAACACATTCTGGAAGAAAAAAAAAGAGCAGAGAGAGAGCAAGCCAGAAAATGGTAGTATCCATGAAGGAAAAAGTTCTAGAAAAAAGAACCATTAACATACCTAAACTGATGGCGGGGGTTGTCAGGGAGGGGAAGGAAAACATGGGCACTGGGATTTTTACGAGAGGAAGAACATTTATGAGGTGCTTGAGAGAAATTTCCAGAAAGTTCTGTGGGAATAAGCCAGGCCCCAGGGGATTAAGAGGGACTGGGCAGTGAGGAGGTGGAGACAGTCAGAGAGGACCGCCAGTTCTGCCAGTTCCACGTTGTGCCGTGTTGGACACTTGAGAATCTTTATATATGATAAACTGGGGGGCCTGAGGGACGCTTCAGCATAGTACAACAGTGGGTGTGAAATATAACAGCAGAGCAAGTAAACAAAAATGATCAGTCAGGATTAGACTGGACTTCCTCCCCCCAGAAGACTCCGCATTCCCCCAGGTAACTTCTCCATTCCTCTGCACATCCCCAAAGTGAGAGTGGGGGACATAGATGTTATTTGAGGCCATGCCTCTGATGTCACCTGTGTTTCCAAACTTCTGGTTGTTTTTAGTATTCCAGGAACATGCCAATCTGGACCCCTGCCTAACGCCGTTTGCAGGTCACATACTGGAATCTTGTCACTATGCTGGGGGCAAGGGCAAGAGAAACAGCCAGCTGGCGTCTAGAGCGAGCCAGACAGGCTCTCAAGTGTCATTGATAGCTGTTCTAATCCAGGTTGTGTCTCTTACGAGCTGTGTCAGCCTCCAGGCTGTTAGTCTTTTCGAGTTTCCATGGGTCATTTGTAAGATGGGGCTGATAACACCTGCCTCATAGAGCTGCTATGCGGGTCCCATGGGTGACCCCGCAAGACATGTATTTGCATTTCCCAACATTTCCCAACAACAGCAAACAGCCAATAAACATTAACCACGAAAGTAAGAGACGCTTTTGCTGCAGCAAATTCACAACAGCCAGGGCATGGAAACAAGCTAAGTGCCCGCTGCTAGCAGACTGGACGAAGAGGTGGGCCATCCGCACGATGGAATACTATTCAGCCATCAAGAGGAAATGGTACGCCATAGAGCGAAATGGAAGGAGTTCGAGGGGATGTTGTATAGTAAAGTGAGTCAGAAGGACAAAGACAAATAGTGGGCATTTACATAGAATAGATGGTTCAACCAAGTACAACAGCTGTAAGAACCAGGGGACACTAGGAAACAAAGTAAGGTCTCTGCGTTAAGAGGGAAGGGGAGGGAGAAAGGGGCAGGAGGTACAAGGTGTGGCGGGAGGGAGGGAAGAAACTCTTCTATGCAAGACTGTGTAGTGGGTGGGTTTCTGGAGCAAAGACAAGCCCTTCAGAATGGTTGTCACCATCTCTCCAAATGCAGTCACCCCGCAGCCGGGAGCGCCCCCGTTTTATTTCTCTAAGAGCCAGACTGCTCACAGTGATAACCTTTCTGAAATTTTCCTTAAGCAGGAGGACATGCGGAGATCAAAATTTAGCTTGCTCCCGGAGATGCTTCCTTCGTCATTTCACTCACCCCATAACCACCCTACATATTCTGTAACTTCAAATATGCCTGGAAGCAGCAGCCACAGCAACACCCAAATCACTGTTAAAAGAGGTCAGTTGACTTTACTCTCATAGACACAGTTCCTTTGCCAAGGGCCTGGAGCTTTCAGTCTTTCTTTCTGGCTTTGCCAGCTTTTTCTTTCAAGTATTCTTGGAAGGAAGCTACCCTTCCACTAAGTAGGTGTAGCCACCTGCAAATTAAACTCGTCATAATTTTTAAATGAAAATTTGAAGAGTTTTAAAGGGAGGAAGGCTGGATCATAATTGCTTCCACGAGAGGGCGACATTTCCTAAAATAAATAAAAAGACTTCAGGGCCACAGGAATTAACACCAGATTTCAAGGAGGCGACTGGAGACCAGGATTTGGGCTGCCCTTGGGCACCTAAGGAAACTGGAAAACACAATTTCTGGGCTCCTCTCCATGGAGATTGTGAACCAGTAGGGAAAAGGGCCAAGAAAACGTGTTGAGAATCTTTTTCTCAAGAGCTCTCCAAATTTGGGAACAACTGATTTGCAAGAAAGTGCAAGCAAGATTTTAACTCACTTTTCTCCGGACCCCCTCAACCCAATATACATTAAGGTCCTGCTACAGTCTTTGTTGAATCTGGATATGTATTTATTTTTACCTTTTTATTGGAAAAAAGAGGGTTTATTACACTAAGACCATGCAGGACCTTTGCTCTGTTGAGTGGATGCTATTTAATGCTATTTCCAGAAAGGTCATTTTCTGCCTATTTTCAGGTCTTTTATAGGGGCAGGTCAACTTCAAAGGCACCCTACAAACTATTTCCACTTCTATTTGTGTTTATCAGCGATGCCAGCTTTTGCTTTATTGTAAGCAAAACACTGCTAAAATAGTGCTTGACTGGAAGAAGATGGTGGGCGGTGCCACCATAAATAAACCCAGAGCTTATCAGCATGAGTTGCCAATCCAGGGGAGAAGCACATAAAACATGTGAACCGATTACAAGTAAGAACAACCTAACTGGTGTGGTTAAGGCTCAGAGATTTGGTCTGAGTACAAGACAAATAGACCCACCTGGACAAGGTTCCTTGGAGTGGAATATTTTTTCATTATTGCATCGTTAAAGCTGATTAATGAGTCAGATTGAGGTAAGCATTTCCCTTTGTGTTTCATCGGCTGTGTTTACAGGGTCACAGTGACATTTTGAATTGTAAGAGGGCTGCAAGATTCCTGGCACAGAAAGCTCCCCTCCTGGACTTACTCTGAGAAAAAAGGAAGGGATGTGAAAGCAGCATTTTTCAGCCCAGCTTCTCTTTTAATTCCAGCACGTGCTCTCTCAGATCTCGTTGTCCGCTTGCAAACTGGACAGGTAATCATTCAAGAGCTCCTCCCAGTGTCCTCCCTGTGGGCTCCTCCCTGACCACCTGACCACACTGCCCCAGCTCATTGCTGGAGCTTCTGTTTGCACACATCTCCCCACAAGTCCCAAATCCTGGTCTCCTTTCAGATGTGTCCACTACTTCCAGGGTTGCCAAGACGTGTCCAGTCTCCAACTGGTGTGTTGGCTTCTTCGGCATTGGCAGGGATTGATCCTTTGACTGTGATGTCCGGGGTTGGGAATGGGGTGCCCTGTTTGCAGGGTTGGGGCATTTCTGCCCATTATAGGTATAGGTGGAGAGGATTGCGTCATGGTGCACACAGACCAGACTTTGCCAGCCTGTTTTCTCTGGCGTGAACTCTTTTCCCCCAAGCCCTGAAACACCTCAGGCTGTCGTGTGAATAAGTTAGGAAAAATTAAGAGGAGCTGCTATCCGCCCTCCCCTTTTTTCTTTCTCCTAGGACATGTAAATGCAGTGCTCGAATCTTAGTTTGCACCTCATTACAATGTGTCCGCTCTCCCCGCTTGCGTCTCAGTGGAGGGCAATGTGGGACCCAGGGACCAAACAGCTGGCAGGGCTCTGTAATTCAGACTAATGGCCCTCAACCCTCAAGGAGACCTCGTGCGAGTGCCCCACCCACCCCCTCCCGCCAAGGAGCGATGACACATGTCAATCCAAGCGTCACGAGGTCACGTTTACAAACACCACATTAACACACACCCCACACAAGCAGCCGAAATGGTTTCCTTCTTTGCTTATAATTGTTGGGTGACTTGGCCACGGTTTATTCCAGAGGGAACTTACGGCTGTTGGAATGATTTGCGGGGACTTCCTCGGGGCAAAGAAAGGGAAGAGAAGGGTCTCAGCGCGCAGGGCCGAGCGCCGGTTGCTGGACTCCCTGCCGGGGGCTGACCCTCCCTGCGGCGGCCGCCTCGCTCCCCTCGGCGGGAGGACCGAGCCGGGGCGCCCGGAGCGCCGCCTCCTGGCTTCCCCCCGGTCAAGCCTGCCCGTCCCTGGGCCCCTCGGCGGGGTTCGTGCGACCGCCCGGGGCAGGGGCGCGGCCGTGTGGCTGGGGTGCCGGTGTCCCGCAGGCGGGTGCTGGCTCCCAACCTGGACCGCCCTGCGCCCCAAGACGCCGCACGCGAGGCGGGCGCCCTCCCCAGCAGCCGCGGGCGGAGACTCCGGGCAGCGCGAGGTGGCCCCGGCCTAGCCCCGCCCCCGAGCCGGCCCCGCCCCGGGACCGCCCTTAAGGTCCCGCCCCCGAGCCGGGCCGCCGAAGCCCCGCCCCCGAACCGCCCTTAAGGCCCCGCCCCCGAGCCGGCCCCGCCCCCGGGACGCCCCCGAGACGGCCCGGCCCCGCCCCGACCGGAAGCCGCGCCGGCCCGGCTCTTATAGGGCGGGGAATGGGGGCGCCGCCGCCGCCTCGTCAGCTCCGTGTCGGCTGAAGCTCGGCCCCGGCGCCCTGGTCGCGGCGCCCCCGCCCGGTTCTCCGCGCGCACCGCCCCCGCCGCCGCCGGCCGGCCCGCAGCCAGGCCGCGACCGCCATGCCGGCCCGGCTGCTGCTGCTGCTGCTGGCGCTGCTGCCGCCCGGGCCCGGGGTGAGTGGCGGGCGCGGGGGGCGCGGGGGGCGGCGGCGGGGGGCGGCGGGCGGAGCGAGCGTCCCCCGCCGGCCCCGCGGGCAGCGCCTGTCACCCCGCGGGCCTCGGCCCGGGGCGCGCACCTGCCGGCCCCTCGGGGGGCGCCCCGGCCGTCGCGGGGGTCGGGGGGACCCGAGGGCGCGGGCCGGGGGGTCTGGGCCGGCAGCCCCGCGGCGACCTGAGGAACGCGGGGACTTCGGGGTCCGGCGCGGGAGCGTCTGCACCCGGGAGCCGGGCCCTCTCCCGCCGGGCGGGCGGGCTCCGGGAGACCCGGGCCGGCTGGGGCTGGGCCGGGCTCTGCCCGCGACCCCGTGCGGGGCGGGGACGGCCGGGGCGCCTGAGCGCGGGGTGCAGTCTGCGCCCCGAGAGACGAGTCTGCCGGACGGTGCCCGCTGCCGCCCGAGGCCTCGCTCAGCCGTGGACCCGGGGACGCAGGCGTTTCTCGACAGACTCGGGTTTTTTCCGGCTGGTGGGAAGAACCTAAGTTGGTGAATGTTGGTTTTTGGTTTTTTTTTTTCCCTTTAAACATGTTGTTCAGGATGTGGGCCGGGCAGAGACCTCCTCTGTGTGCTCTCTAATAGGCATATCATGTACCAGATGTCCAGGTGGGGAGCTGACATGTGTGCGCCTGAGCACTGGGGCCTGAGCGCTTTGGAGGTTGTGCCTGTTAGGTAAATAATAGTCCCTGCTCTTGGAGTAACAGGAATTTCAAAACAGAGGAAGTAATGCATAAGGTCACTTTCTTCAAATTTGGGTTTTTTTTTTTAAAGGGGCATTTGGACACACTTCATGATAGAACTCGTGTAAGTCTCTTTTCTAGTTAGAAAAACCCACTTTCATGACCAGAGGCACGGTTGGAACCTGCCGTGTGTTCACATGTAGGAGTGTAAACAGAATGACCAGTGTGTGATGGGGATCCAGCCTTTCCTATAGTCAGAGCCTACATGTATATGGTTTTCTTTGCCAGGTCTTTCCCTCTGCTGTTCTTTCACATGATTTGCGTTTTTAATAACTTAGACCAAAGTGCTAAAAACAGCTATTTAACTTTACTTGGGACTTCAGTTCCAGTTCATGTAAATATTTCCAAATTGCATTTGGAAATCCGCATGGCTCAGAATTCATGGTAAAATATTCCAGACCCTTATCAACAAGTGGTATTTTAGTATAATTGCTTTTTACATAAAAGATCCAAATTTATCGACCGGTAAAAACTTTGATCCCCAAACAGTGCGAATTATTTTAAAATTCTCCACTGCAGATTTTGCAGTTAGACTAGGCAGTGATGCTGTTTGGACAGTGCTGGCTGTCAAATCAGACAGACCTGAGTTCTAAGTGGCCGGTGGCAAATGTACCCTCAGGCACTTCTCAGAGACTGTTTCTTCATCTGTGAAGTGGGGATAGCTAACTCTTGGGAAGGCACCTCTTTTACTACAATCCATCATTTTTAAAATATACCATGCTCTGCAGACAATACTTTTTGATGCTGATTCCTTTTGATTGACGAAGCAGCTAGTGCACTGAAGGCGATATTGTGGTTTTCTTCCAGCGCGTGTCTGAATGAGACACTGACTCATCATGGGCTGAGCCTCTAGATTCCAGGATTCAAAATGCAATAACATCAGTGTCATTAGCACTCTGGGCTGTCATTTGTTGATCTAGAATGTGTTCACTGAGTCCCCACGTTCTTCCTAGACTCAGATGTTGTACCTAATGTTGATTGCTGTCACAGCCTCGCTGTCATGCGATCCTCAGTGTAGGTGCCACTTCTCACAAGAACTAGAGCGCTCTGAGAACCAAAATGCTTTCTCCAGCTAGAATATATATGTTTATTTTATTCAGCTAGTGTTTGGGTTTTAGAGGATTAAAAACGTCTGAGAACTGAGGACCAGTTCTCATGTTCAGACACTGAGAATATTGTTTGAGATATGAGCCTTAACCAGAAATACTGTGGATTGTCATTTCTTCTGATGGTTATCACCTGCACGAATCATCCTCCTAGGTGGTATCAGGTATTTCTGCTGAGGCCAGGGGGAGAGTGTCTCATCAGGTTCCTGCGATCAGGGCTGCAGATCATGAAGTGAGACTGCAGTTGTGGAGTGCATGTTTGGTTGCCTTAACTCCCTGCCCGCTTGGCTCTCCACAGCAGTGTAGCTTCTCAGGGCACAAGAGAAAGTGTGTGTGAGAGTCACTCGGGGGAAAAGGCTCAAAAGTGGACCATATTCCTGAAATAAAGCCAGTGAGTCCATAAAGGTTTCCTTGTGTCTGGATAGAGCGGTGTCACCTGCGTGGGCCTGGGGGCTGGCGTAGTTGTCCTATCTTGGATGTTGACTCCATTTTTTAGCTTGAAGAATCATTGGATGCCTACTTCACTTGCATTGGCAACCTCTTTGGTTTAGGGATTCAGAGTCATCTTCAGGTTCAAGACTGTGGAGATTTCATAATGATCAAATGTTCACCCTAAGGAGATGACACAGGGGAGAAAAGCCTAATGTGTCATGTAAATGGATTCAGGTTTTATTATGCACAAATAACTTGGGGCCTGTAACCTAGCAGTGTGATTGGAGTGTGATGGTGGCTTAAAAAACAGGGACGGTGAATCATAGTCTGTGAATAATAAACATGCTGCTTGGCTGTTTTTCAGGGGGCTGGGATTTTTTTCCCTACCTTTACCTGTATTCCATGTTGGAGTCTGACTTCCCTGCCTCAGAGAAACACATCCTCAGAGATATTTAAGTGGGTCCCACAGACCAGAATCGGACTAGGAAAAGTAGAAGTTAGAAAGTACTCATAAGCTCCTTGCTCACCTTCCACTTTTCAAAGTTACTCTCAGACAGTTTCTACATGTGGTTATCTTACACGTCTGATTATCTGACCATCTTAGTTCATGTACAAACAGCAAATACAGATGTAAAAATAGGTGTTCTCCATTCCTGTTCAGTTTTTATCACAGATTGTTTCCTAGGACCTGCGAGGAAATGTTCTGAATACTTCGCTGCATTTGACACTTTTACTGGCATTTTTGTAAACCGTCATCTGTGCAAAAAGCATTTGAACTCTCTGCAGCCCCAGGTCAGGGACTGGGATCATAACTAACATGGGTCGATGGGGTAGTAAATACCCTACTGGGTATTTGCCAGTTTTTCCACTATTATAAGGAAAGGTGGATTTCCTTTTTTTCAAATCTTTTGCATTTGGTACTGTCTGTATGATCACATGGGAAGGTTTTTTAAAAATCCCTCAAAATAATTGTATTTATTGTAGAAAAGCTAGAAAACATAGATAAGTCTAAGTGAATGAACAGCAACAAACCTATAATCTATAGGCTAATAGATGTAATCTACTATCTAAACCTTTATTAACATTTTGACAGTTTAAGATATAATTTACGTGTCATATAATTCATGCATTTGAAGTATACAAGTTAGTGGTTTTTCGTGTATTCACAGAATGGTGCAATCATCACCACAATCAATTTTATATTTTCAGCATCTTCAAAAGAAACTCCATGTCCATTAGCTGTCACTCCCTATTTTCCACAAACCTCCCAACCCCTTGCAGCCACTAATCTTTTCTGTCTGTATAGATGTGCCTATTCTGGGCATTTCCTATAAAAGGAACCATACTATATATAGTCTTTTATAACTGGCTTCTTTCACTTAGCATATTTTTTTCAAGGTTCATCCATGCTGTGGCATGTGTCGATGCCTCCTTTTTCATTGCTGAATAATATTCCACTATATGGATATATCACTTTTTTTATCCATTCCTCAGTTGATGGACATTTAGGTTGTTTCCCCTTCCCTCTTATAAATAATTCTGTGGTGAATATTTTGTATTCATTTTTTAATTTATTTATACAAGAACCGGGGTATAGGCCAGATGCGCTGGAGGGTGAGAGGATTCACCAGAGACAGAGCGGGAACAGAACAGGCAGACTGATGAAATACACTGTTGAGGGGGGCAGCAGGCCAGACAGGAGAGAACTGCTCGCCATGTGGGTTGTTCTGAGGTCGGTGGGGATCAAACCGGCACTGCAGAGGCAGCAGATAGCTTCACAGCGTTTTGCTCAACCGTCTGTGCCACCAGGGAGGCCCCTTGTGTATTCATTTTTGAATGGCCATATATTTTCCTTTTTCTTATGTATGTATCAAGAAATAGCATTTCTAGAGTTACCTATGGTAACTTTTTGAGGAATTGTTGCCAGACTATTTCTAAAGAAACTGTACAAGTTTACAGTCCTCCCTGCTGTGCAGGGTACCAGTTTCTCCACATCCTTTCCAACAGTTGCTATTATCTGTCTTTTTAATTATAGTCATCTTAGTGGGTGTATACCAGTAACTCATGGTTTTGGTTTGCATTTCCCTAATGCAAATGGTTAATCTACTAATACCTTGCTTAATATTTTTCTGTGTACGTATTTGCATAGGTAATATTTTTTCCCCAAACTGAAACATCTTTCTGTGTCAACAGATTTAATTCTGCAATATTATTCCTACTGACTGCATAATACTTCTCTGAATGGGTATACCATATTTGACCATTGAATCATTTAGATATTGAGGTTGTTTTTAATTTTCATTTTTATAAACAATGTGATACGTCTTTTTAATTCTTGAGTGTATTTTAATTGCTTAATTATTTCCTTGAGATAAATTCCTAGAAGTGGAATCTACAAGTTGTATGCATTCTTTTGTAGCCCCCCACACCCTGCTGCAGCCCAAGCAATATTGAATATTTTTAAAAGCCCAAAACTAACCTTAAAGTGGTTTTATGACAGCCCTGTTCAAGTAAGCTTTTCTCCCTCTATCAGTGTGGATGTTAAGCCAAGTGAAAATGATGTTTAGATTTTGTTTTGTGTATGTTTTGAAGATGGAAATGACCATGGAAGTCGCCTGGTGACACATTATGTGCCTAATCTGATTTGTTAAGTAGTTGTTTGCAGGGTCTTTTGGTCGGCAGTG